TCAGTGTGGAGGTGGTAGCCATGGGCTGCAGGGTTGGCCAGAGCAGGGAGGTGGTGGCCATGGGCTAGAGGTGGAGGTCACATCACCTAGATGGTGGCCATGTGCTGCAGGTGGCAGACATGTCGTGCAGATCGTGGCCACTTTATACACAGTGGCCACCCCACAGCAACAGGGATGGTGGCCACCCTCTTTAGCCCATAGCCACAGACACGGTGGCCACCCCACACAGACTGTGGCCCCTCAGCATGGACAGTCGCCCCCCAAAACAGACAGTAGCTGCCCTAGGCTCGCTCTCACCCCTACCGTCGCCGTCCAGGTCATCGGTCTCATCGGCCCAGCTGACTGGCTTGGGGATGTAGGTGGGCGCACCGCTGCCGCCATCCTCCGCCAGGAAATCAGTCAGGGTCAGGGTCTTCCCCTTCTTGTTCTTCTTCTTGGCTGCTGCGGGGTGGGGGGGGGGCCAGATTGGCACCAGGGCTCTGTCTGTACTCCCCCCCCCCCCCCCCCAACTGGTGGCAATGGGATGTGAGGAGGAGGGGGTGGGGGTCAAGAGCTGCATTCACACACAGCTGCCCCAAATCGGTGAGGAGCTCTGCCAGAACGGCATGGGTGTCACCAAATCAGGTGTAGAGCTCATCGAATAGGCACGGAGGTCACCAAAACTGACACAGAGGTCACCAAAATGGGCACGGGATCATCAAAACTGGCACGGTTGCCAAACTTGGCAGAGCTCCTCAAAATCAGCACAGGGGCTGCCAAAATCGCACACAGTTCCCCAAAATCAGCTCGGGGTCACCAAAACTGACACAGGAGTCATCAAAGCCGGCACAAGGATCCCCAAAATTGGCACAGGGGTTGCCAAAACTGGCACAGAGGGTCACCAAAAGCACATGAAGATACCCAAAAACATGTTGAGAACCCCAAAATCTCACAGAGCTCCTCACAAACATGAAGAGGTCCCCAACACCAGCACAGGGATCACCAAAACTGACACAGAGCTCCACAAAACCAACATGGGGAGCCAGCAAAAGCACATGGAGACATCCAGAAACACGCAGAGCTCTCCAAAATCTCACAGAGCTCCCCAAAACCAGCATGGGGGTCACCAAAACCAGCACACTGACTGCACGCTGCACAGGGCCAGCACAGCACTGCTGCCACCATGCACTGCACAGGGCCCAGCACCATAGCACTGCCACCAAGAACAGAGCCCAGCAGCACACGGACATGATGATGGTGCACTGCACAAGTCCCAGCAGTGCATGGGGTGGTGCTGATCCACTGCATCATGCCCACAGTGCCCAAATGTCACTGTGCGTTACATCAGGCAAGCACCACCACGCTGCACCACACACTGCAGAGCCCAGATGTGATGAAGGTGCACTGCATTATGCCAGCAGTGCCCAGATGTCACTGCACAGTTCATAAAAGCAGTGTGACAGCACTGCCACCACGCTCTGCATGTGGCCCAGCACTGCACAGAGAAGCAATGATGGTGCACTGCACGAGTCCCAGCAGTGCACAGGGTGGTGTTGGTGCACTGTGTGGGGCCAGCAGGGCCCAGATGGCACTGTGCATTGTACATAGACAGCACCACAGCACTGCCACAATGCACTGCACAGAGTCCCAGCACTACGCAAATGTGATGACGGTGCACTGCATGACTCCTAGCAGCATGTGGGGTGGTGCTGGAGCACTGCACAGGGCCAGTATTACCCAGATATTACTGTGCATTGTACACAGCACTGCCACCACGCAGTGCACAGAACCCAGCCTTGCACCACTGCATGATGCCAGGAGTGCCCAGATGTCACTGCACAAGACCAGCACCACAGCACTGCACCGCATAATGCACAGGGCCCGGCGCTGTACAAATGCTGATGATGGCACACTGCACAATTCATAGCAGTGCATGGGGTGGTGCTGGATCACTGCATGGGGCCTGCATTGCACAGATGTCACTGTGTGTTGCACACGGCCAGCATCTCAGCACTGCACCACGCACTGCACAGATGTGATGAAGGTGCACTGCATGATGCCAGCAGTGCCCAGATGTCAACGCATATTACACATGGCCAGCACTACAGCACTACACCGTGCACTGCACAAGGCCCAGCACTGCACAAACATGAGGATGATAGTGCACTGCACCGGGTGGTGCTGATGCACTGCATGGGCTCAGCAGGCCCCAGATGTCACTGCGCATTGCACACGGCCAGCACTGCAGCGCTGCCACCACGCACTGCACAGAGCCCAGCAGCGCACAGAGAAACGATGATGGTGCACCGCACAATCCGCAGCCGTGCACGGACGCCGGTCGGGCCGGGAGAACCGGCCCGGACGCTGTCGCCGCACGGCACACACGTCACCCCGCGTTGCGCAGCGCCCGGAAGCGCTTCGGCTGTCCCCGTTCCTCGCACCCAGCCCCGCACCGCCGCTCCCGGCCCCGCACCGCGCCCCACGTGGACCCCCCCCCGGCTCCGCGCCTGCGCAGGTCCGCGCCCGTCCCCCCCCCCCCCCCCCAAGGGGCGCGGGGTGTTTGTGTGTATGGGGTGGGGTGGGGGGGGCAAGGCCCGAAGGCCGCTCCCGGCCCTGAAGGCCCCGCAGAGCCGCGGTGCCGCCCCCGCAACGCCGCCAACCCCTCGCCCGACCCCGTCTCGAAGCAGCGGTGGGGCAGCGGAGTGGGGAAGGGCCGCTCGGAGGTGGCTTTGGGGCGACCGCGGGGCGGTGTGGGGTCGGAGCCGCCGCGCGGCGCTCACCTGAGGCCGCCATCTTGGCAAGAGGCAGAGAGAGGGCGAAAGGCCCGGATGGAGCCGTCACGTGATCGCCGGAGCCACGCCCACTTCCGGCGGGGCGGGGCGCGGGAAACCCGGGGCGGGGGGGGGGTCAGAGGGGGAGTTCGCAATGCCGCGTGTGCGGCGGGCACGTGGGCGGTGCGTCACAGAGTGACAGAATGGCGCGGGTTGGAAGGGAGCTCAAGGATCGCGGAGCTCCAACCCCCCGCCAGACGCAGGGCCACCAACCTCCACATTTCACAGCAGCCCAGGCTGCCCAGGGCCCCATCCAGCCTGGCCTCCAACACCTCCAGGGATGGACGGGGCATCGCAGCCTCTCTGGGCAGCTGTTCAGCCCCTCACTGCTCTCACAGCACACAACTTCCCTGACATCCAACCTCCGTCTGCCCTCCCTCAACTTCATTTCCCCTCGTCCTGCTGCCATCTCCCCTTTCACAGAGCTGCCTCCCCTCCTGGCTGCAGGCTCCCTGCAGGCTGCACTCAGCTCACCCCCAGCCTTCTTTTCTCCATGCTGAACGAGCGCAGCTCCCTCAGCCTGTCTTTGTAGTGGAGGTGCTGCAGCCCCTGCTCATCACCAGCTCCTCTGGGCCCTCTCCAACAGCTGCCTGCCTTTCCTGTCCTGGGGGCTCCAGCCCTGGACGCAGTGCTGCAGATGGTACACAAGAGCACACAAGATGCTCACAAGAGCAGAGCAGAGGGGGACGATCGCCTCCCTGTCCCTGCTGCCACCCCTCTGCTGCTGGAGCCCAGTATCCCATTTGCTTTCCGAGCTGCAGTCACACACTGCTGGCTCCCGTTCAGCTTCTCATCCCTCGGGACCCCCAGGTCCTTCTCTGCAGGGCTGCTCTCAAGGATGCTCCTTCCGATCTGTATGGATGCCTGCCATTCCTCCAGCCCTAGTGCAAAACCAAGTGCACTGATATGTGTGTTTGTGTGTCTGTTCATCTGTCTGTTCATCCCAGTCCCCGTGTAACGCAGCCCGTTGTGCAATGCACCCCCTCCAGACTGTGTGCCACCAGTCTGTGTACAATGTGTGGTCACTCATTGCTGTGTAATGCAGGTTCTAATGCAGTGCACCATCACAACCCGCCATGCACCACTAGTTCACATGCAATGCAGTCGCTCCCCTGTGCAATGCAGGTCCTCGTGCAATGCACCATCACCCCCCTGTGCTTCACCAGACCATGCACAACACACAGCCACTGCCTTGTGCAACGTGGCCCCTTGTGCAACACATGGTGCACTACTGCTTCTCGTGTGTTGCACCAGCATTGCCTGGTGTCCAATGGAGCATATCATTTGTTCAGTGCATCATCGTGCCCCTCCGTGCACCAGCAGTTGTGGAATGCACAGTGATGCCCCCTCTGTGCACCTCCTCTTGTTGTGCAACGCGTGGTCAGTCCTCCCCATGCACTTTTGGCACTTGTGTAATGCACAACCACTCCTCCCTGTGCAATGCAAGTCCTTGTGCAATGTGCAATCACCCCCCTATGCATTGCTGGGGCAGTGCAATGAATGGTCATGCCCATCACTCCCTCTCTCATTCTCCCTCGCTTTCTTTCTTCCTCCCTTCTTCTCTCCCTCCATCTATCTGCCCATCTATCCCTCCCTTTCTCCTTCCTTCTCTCCCTCTCTCCTTCCCTCTCCTTCTCTTCCCCTCTTTTTTTTCCTTTCCTCCTTCTCTCCATCCATTCTTCCTTTCCTCTCTCTATTCCTCCTTCCCTCCGTTCTCCCATCCCTTCCTCTCTTCCTCCCTTCCTTTCTTTCCTTCCGTTTCCCTCCCTCCAACCCCTCTCACCCTCCCTCCATCCCCTCCTCCTTCCTTCCCTCTCCATCTCTCCATCCCTCCCACCTCTTTTCCTCCTCCATCTCGCATCCCTCCACCCCTCCCTCCCTTCCTTCCCTTCTTCCCTCCCCCTGCTTCTCTCCCCACCTCTCCCTCCCTCCATCTCCATCCCTCCTTTCCTCCACCCATCCATCCCTCTCTTCCTCCCTCCATTCCTCCCTCCCTCTCTCCCTTCCACCCTCTCCCTCCATCTCTCCATCCATCCATTCCTCTCTCCATCCCTCCCTCCATTCATCCCCACTTCTCTCTGTACCTCCATCCTTCTTCCCTCCCTCCCCTCTCCCATATCTCCACCTTTCCTTCCTTCCCCCAACCCGTGCCTCAGTTTCCCCACCACACACACTGCACTGAGACCCATCTTTGTCACTTTGCTCCTTTATTTGTGGGGCAGGGGGTGGCACCTCGCCGTCCCCCCCTCAGTAGCTCCGCACTTTGACCTCTTTGCTCTCGGACACCACTTTGCCATCCACCGTCCTCTGGGTGCTGCGCTGCGTAGTGACCGTCCCCTCCGTCCCCAGAGCATCCTGCAGACTGTGGGGCAGCGGGTGTCCCCGTGTCACACACTCCTATGTTACCCACTCCTGTCACCCACCCCTGTGTCACCCACCCCTGTTACCCACTCCTGTCACCCACCCCTGTGTCACTCAGCCCCATGCCACCCTTCCCCACTGCTACCCCAAGGAACTTGGAGGGGACATCAGGGCTGGGGGGAGGAGTTGGGTTGCCTGGCCACTGGATGCCACCACTGTCCCTGTGCTGTCCCCAGATGTCCCAGCAGATAGGATACGGACGTGTTTGTACCCACAGCTCATCTCTCATGGGTGTCACTGTCCCTTTGCTGTCCCTACAGAATCCCCACTGGGTGTCACCACTGTCCCTTTGTTATCCCTATAGGATTTCTCAGGGGTGCCACTGCTGTCCCCTTTTTGTCCCTATAAGGCCACCAGAGGTCAGGACCTGCACCTCCCAGAACTGGGGCTTGCCCCATTGAATGCCACCACTGTCCCCTTGCTGCCCCCAACCATCCCAGAGGATGGGACATAGACATCTCAACATTTGGTCTCGCCCCACTGAATGCCACCACCACAGTCCCCTCCCTGTCCCCAAAGGACTACACAGGGGCTCACCCCACTGTGAGCCAGCACTGTCTCCTGTCTGTTCCTGTAGGGTCATGGAGGTCAGAATGTGGATTTCCCACCACTGGGGCTCAACGCTGATGGATGCCATCATTGTCCCCTTGCTGTCCCCTCTCTGTTCCTATAAGGCCACAGAGGTCAGGACCTGCGCTTCCCAACACTTGGTCTCACCCCACTGAATGCCACCACTCTCCCCTCTATCTGTCCTGTATCCCCTCTATCTGTCCCTGTAGGGTAACAGAGGTCAGAACTTGGACTTCCCAGCACTGGGACTCAACAGTGATGGATGCCATCGTTGTCCCCTCACTGTCCCCTCTATGTCCCTATAGGGCCACAGAGGTCAGGACCTACACAACCAAGTGCTGGGTCTCTCTCCACTGAATGCCACCACTGTCCCCTTGCTGTCCCCAGACATTCCAGTGGATGGGACATGGACATCCCAACACCAGGGCTCAGCCCACTGTGTGCCATCATATCTGTCCTTATAGGGTCCTGGAGGTCAGAATGTGGACTTCCCGCCACTGAGGCTCAACACTAATGGATGACAACGTTGTCCCTTCACTGTCCCCTCTCTACCCTTAGAGGACCACAGAGGTCAGGACCTACACATCCCAACACCGGCTCTCACCCCACCCAGATGCCCCACAGTCCCACAGTGGTGCCACCCCCCATGTCCCACCTGAACCCCTCTCCTCCCTCGAGCAGCGCACGGTACGTGGCAATCTCAGCTTCCAGCTTGCTCTTGGCGTCCTGCAGGGCGCAGTGCTCCCGGTTCTGACGCTGCAGTTCTGCCCGTGCCTGCGCCAGCTCCTCCTCCCCGCGCAGGATCAGGCCCTGCAGCTGCTCCAGCTGTGCCCCGTATCGCGCCTCCGTCTCTGCCAGGCTGCCCTCCAGCCCCGCGTTCTGCAGCGTGACTCCAAGAGCTCAGTGGGGGTAAGGGGCCTGAACCCTCCCCTCCCCCCAATTCCCTCATTCAGTGGGGTCATCCCCTATGAGGTTGGGGGCTCTTGGGATCAGGGACATCCATGTAGTCACTCCTTATGGGACTGAGTGGTTTGTGGGACCGCCATGGGGTCATGCGCTATGGGGCTGGGGGCTCCTGGGGTCAGGAAGCCCCATGGAGTCACTCTTTATGGGGCTGAATGCCTTACAGAACATCCGTGGGGACACCCCCTACAGAACTGGGGGCTCGTGAAGACAGGGACCCCCATGGACCCACACTTTATGGGGCCAGGTGGCTCACAGGAACCCCATACTGTTGCACTCTAAGGATCAGGAGGCTGGTGGGACCCCTGTGGAGTTGTACTCTATGAGGTTGGGGGGGCTGGTGGGATCCCCATGAGGTAATGTACTATGGGGCTGGGGGCTCTTGGGATCCCTATGGAGTTGTACTTTATGGGGTCAGGGGGTTGGTGGGACCCCCATGGGGCAGTACTCTATGGCGTTGGGGGCTCATGGGGTCAGGGACTCCCATGGAGACCCACTTTAAGGGGCTGGGTGGCTCACAAGACACTTCTACAGGGTTGGGGGGCTGTTGAGATCCCAATGGGGTCACACACTATGGGGTTGGTGGCCGTGGGGTCACTCTATGGAGTCAAAATGCTGTGCAGTCACTCTCTATGGGGTCAGGATGCTGTGGGGTCACTCCCTATGGGGTCAGAGGACTGTAGGTTCACTCTACAGTGCCAAGATGCAGTGGGGTCATTCTCTTTAGGATGAGAGGGGTGTGGGGTTACTCTATGGGACCGGGGGGCTGTGGGGTTGCGCTTTGGGGTCACCTGGCTGCGCAGGGCATCCAGGTCGATCTCCAGACTCTGCACTGAGCGGCGCAGCTCCAGCAATCGGCTCCGTGCTGTGTCCACCTCCTTTGTGCTCTGTGTCACCTCCAGCGTGGTCTCCGTGATCTGGGGTGGTGTGGGGAGGGGAGTGGGGGGCACAAATAAGTCCAGGGAAGTCAGCAAAATGGAGCCCGTAAGGAGGATCCTCAGTGTGGGGTGAAGATTGCATTGGAAGATGCTCCCACTGCGGGGTCGCCATTGGTTGTGGGGTGTCCCTAATATTGGGTAAGGACAGCGCTGGGAAATGTCCCCACTATGGGCCTGGTGTCCCCTGTGAATGGGGTGTCCCCCAAGAGATGTGCCCCGTGTGTGACCGATAGAGGGCCACCAGGACACCCCACAGACCACCCCAAGGGTTGTAGGAACAGCCCAAAGTCTCCTTGAAAGACCCCAAAGACCACTGGAACGCCCCAAGAACTATAGGAACACTCCAAAGACCACCAGAATACCCCAAGGGCCATTGGAACACTCCAAGGACTATACGAACACCCCAAAGACCACCTTGAAAGACCCCAAAGGCCCTTGGAATGCCACAAGGACTATAGGAATGCCCCAATGACTGTAAGAACAGCCCAAAGACCACCAGAACATCCGAAGAACTATAGGAACACCCTGAGGACTATAGGAACACCCCGAAGACTCCTTGAAAGACCCCAAAGACCACCGGAACATCCCAAGAACTACAGTTACACCCCGAGGACTATTGAAACACCCCAAAGACCCCTTGAAAGACTCCAAAGACCCCCTAGGACTGTAGGACCACCTGCTGCCCCCACTGCTTCTCCAGCTCCTCCAGGTTCTTCTTGGCCAACACGTCGTATTGCGCCCTCAGCTCTGCCAGTGCCTGGCCCAGGTCCTGCGCCTGCGGTGCGTCCACCTCCACCGTCAGCCCCGCGGAGGCCGCCTGGGCCTGCAGTGCGTTCACCTCCTGCCAGGGGACAGCAGGTCCTGGTTTGTCCCCGTGTGCCCTTGATGTGTTCCACGCATGTCCCCAGCGTGTCCCTGATGTGTCCCCGGTGTGTCTGTGATGTGTCCCTGGTATGCTCACAGTGTGCCCCCACTGCGTCCCTAATGTACCCCCAACATGTCCTCAGTGTGCCCCACTGTGTCCCTGAGGTGTCTCCAGTGTGTCCTCTGTGTACCTAACGCATTCCCAACATGTCCCCAGTGTGTCCGTAATATGGTGTCCCCAATGTTTCCCTAATGTGCCCCCAGTGTGTTCCCAACATGTCCCCAGTAGGTCCCCAATGCACGTGCCCCCAGTGTGTTCCCAACATGTCCCCAGTAGGTCCCCAATGCACGTGTCTCCAGTGTGTCCCTGATATGTCCCCAGCATGTTTTCAATGCGTACCCAATGCGTTCTCAGCATATCCCCAGTGTGTCCCCAGCGTGTCCTCAATGTATACATAATATGTTCCCAACACTTTCTGGATGTGTACTCAATCTGTTCCTGATGTGTCCCCAACACGTCCCCAGATTGTTCCCAGTGTGTCTCAAATATGTCCCTAATGTGTACCCAGTGTGTCCCTAATGTATCCCCAACATGTTGTACCCAATCCATTCTCAACATGTTCCCACAATGTCCCCAGTGTGTCTCTAATGTGTCCCTAATGTTCTCAGTGTGCACCTGACATGTTCCCAATGCGTTCCCAGTGTGTCCCCAATGTGTCTCCAATGTGTCTATGATATGTCCCCAACATGTTCTTAATGTGCCCCCAACGTGTTCTCAATGTGTCCCCAGTGTGTCCCTAATGTGTACCCAACGTGTCCCCAAGGTGTCCTCGATGTGTCCTTGATGTGTCCCTGATGCTGCGCCACCCCACCTCCTCGTGGTTCTTCTTCATGAAGATGAGCTCCTCACGCAGTGCCTCGATCTCCCCCTCCAGCTGCAGCCGTGCCATGTTGGTGTCATCCAGCACCTTGCGCAGCCCCGCAATGTCGCTCTCCACTGATGTGCGGATGGCCAGCTCTGCCTCGTACCTGCAGGGCACCGGCTCAGGTCTGTTATCCCACCCCACCCCACCCCACCCCACCCCACCCCACCCCCTCCCATCCCATCCCATCCCATCCCATCCCATCCCATCCCATCCCATCCCATCCCATCCCATCCCATCCCACCCCATCCCATCCCATCCCATCCCATCCCATCCCATCCCCACCCCATCCCATCCCATCCCATCCCATCCCATCCCATCCCCACCCCATCCCATCCCATCCCATCCCATCCCATCCCATCCCATCCCATCCCACCCCATGCCATCCCACTTCTGTTCTGTGAATCACACCCCATTCCCATTCTCGTTCCCGTCCCCACCCCATCCCTATCCTCATCCCACCCTATTCCCATCTATGCCCCTGGCCATTTTCCCATTCCCATCTATGTTCCTGTCACTGTCCCATCCC